GATGGTGTTTTTGACCCCAAACCCACGACGATCATTCCCAAAGTACAATGCTGCCTCCACCACATCTATGGTGTTTTCAGAAAGCGGAGCAGGCTCAGTTTTTCAATCCTTCACCCCGTTTTGTATTTAATTTCTTCACAAGTATGCACTACTTTTTGTTACTCCATTCTAAAAATATGAGTCAAATACATTCAAGTTTAAATGCTGAATCCAGAGTTTTGTTACATAGGCTGTTAGTAGGTAACAAGATTGAACTTTTCTTTAATATTTCATCTCGCACTCACAACATATTTTAATAACATCCTCGGGACGCTGCTGTTGTCTGCCTGTATTAATTCAAGATGAGCATACACAGGTTTTCAACTGCTGCTTTATCTATAAATATGTTGTGTTGCAAACTGGGTTTGGGTTAGGTGAGAAATTTTCAAACATAGCAAAACAAATTAAGAATTATAAATTTTGGATTTAGCTTTTTTTTTTTAACGTTGATTGCATGTAAACGCTTAAGGAAGCAGTCAGCAATATAATCAATTCAATCTTGCAAGGCTTTTATTACATAATGATCAGATCAATCAAAAGTTTTTTTATTAGAATAGATAGTTTTTGTCCTCCACAGTAAGAGTTGAAATTACAAAAACAGTGACCTTCTTCACTCAACTTACATTTCCCGAGAAAGCAGCCCTATAAAACATGACAAGAGAAAAGAGATGTTTGAATATTAGTATTCTTACATGTAATATATTTCACGGATGTCCTAATCACCCTCAATAAGAGGAGGCTTTATATTTGACTGAGATTGGTCTGCAGTCTGCAGCCAGACAGAGATGTATGATTAACTGACAACCCTGACAAAAGGTGGCCATTTGTATCTGCACTCTCAGTTACGAGAGCCAGATCAAATGTCATTGCTTCATAACTAGCCCCTCCTCCGCAATACCTAAAAGAGGCATAAAATCACCCCTCACCGTCACCTCACAAATGCTACATTATTCAATGTGTTCTCATCTAACCAATTAGAGGACACACACTAGACGAAGATCATATTTATTTTCAAATATGGCTTAAGAAAACAACTGATGAATGGGTAAAGATGGCTAATGCTTCACGGAATCAGTATATTAAATTAGAAACACTGTTTTGTCTGTTAACTCAAAGAAAGTAGAAAGACTAAAAATTGCTTAACGTATTTGAAAATGTTCAGAATTAAACTCTTGTTACGGACAGAAATGAGAAATTCTTAAAGTAATCCTCCTTTAGTCAACATGACGGTGCTCCAGTACGATTCCAGCCATGCAGGCTCCACTAACTGTTTAGCTATAAGGACACAGTTGCCATGGAACAGGTCCAGTTGGAGCAAATGAAATCCCTCCTTTCCAGTTTCCAGGCAGGGTTTACACACAGAGAATGCTCCGGTGTTCAGACAGTATGTGTGTAGTAGAAGGAGATCTGTGTGTGACGTGAGCAACTGTATTGAGCAGGAGATATCAAAGGGGAGGATTTGGCTTTTGAGGTTACAGAGCAAGTAGGGCATGTGATTTGCAGTCGGGTGTGTATGTGAATGCTCGCTTCTGTGTGGGGTGTGCATGTATCAGTCTGCTGCAACAGCTTTCTGATGTAACATTAACCGATGTCTGCCTGCCTCTCCTGGGGCTCTCAGGCATCTTTGGGAATTTGTTTATGACCAGTTGATCACACAGAGCAAACACACATCAGTGGTTATAGTTTCAAGCATTAGAGAGAGAAAATGATTCCACCCATTTTTTTTCCTATAATATATATAATATATTTTAACTCCGTGTTGAATATATCTTCTACTTAACCGTTTTTAAAATTTGTCACATTTCAACTTAACCATGAGGGAATTTTATGGAGCTTTTGTAGACCTAACCCTATATATTGGAAGTGGAGGAGACATGACAAATGATTTTCTCTCTTTGTTTTACAAATAAAAATCTTTAAATCTGTTGCCGGCATTTGTAGTCAACCCCCTGTGTCAACACTTTGCAGAACCACCTCTCATTTAAGGCAGTTGAAGATTTTAGGGTATGTATCTGTCCTAAAACCTTCAACTGTGCATCTGGAGATGAATACTGAAAATGCCCAACCTTCTTTGTGAAATAAAAGCTCTATCGGACTGTATGGAGAAAGTCCATTTTCTAGAACTGTCATAGATTCTGATTGAGATTTTGGTCTTGACTTTGACTGGGCCATTTCATCTAAATCCCATTGTAGCTGTGGCTACATGTTTAAAGTTGTTGTCTTGATGAAAATTGAAGCTGTCCTCTAGTCTCTGGTCTTTTGTCAAGATTGTCCTATAGAACGACCTTAAATTTATAGAATACCAGTCTTTCTATCACTGTGCATACCCATGTCTTTAAAGAGGCTGCAGGTGGGACAAAGCCCAAAGTTAGCTGTCCATCTAATTAACTGGTGAAAGAGTAGGGGGGCAGGGAGCTGTGACTTGTCACACAGCTGAATGGTGGGACATGATCTCGCTGCTGAACCACACGGAGAGAGGAAAGCACAGTAGGGGAGCAGGGTTGATGTGTGAGAATGCAGAGAGTCGATGGCCTCTGCTCCAGCTGTTCTGGGGTTTATTGATCAGTACTCCAGCACTGACAGAGGGGAAGGTTACCAACATATGCACTCCATAACAACATGTCTGCTTTAATCAAGCCAGGAAGGGCTATAACTCACATTTGGCTCACTGCAGCGTGAACTTTAAGAAACTGTTAGTAAATACTGTTTGTAAAGTTTAACTTACACAAAAATGTTTCTCATTGTATGCTGGTTTTATCCACAAATGAGCCTTAACTTTGAAACTATTGCATAATATCAAACAGGTTCCTCATTTAGCACTAAATAACCTGTCTCATCAGTGTGGACAAAGAACATCTGAGTGTGTGCAAGCAGAGGAAACACGAACAGATTACCTGTTCTCTGACTGTCATACATTATTGTGATTTAAAAGTTAGAAAATAAATTTGTTGTTTTCCAATAAGTGATTTGTTTATTTATGTGCAAGTTGAAACTTTATTTCTTGAGCAGACGCTGTAGATGAATGTTGCTGTTGTTGTGACCGGTCTGCAAAAATAAACAATTTGCTTAATGACAAATGTAGACAATAGAGGTTTGCATTTCTCTGCAGAGCCTTCTGTCAGCAAGATGACAAACCCTTCATTTACCTGTCATGGGTTTTAATGACATTCACAAAAACAGAACCTCAGCATTTACCCTGCCAGTAATGTATTGTTGTAATGCAATACATTAAATGTTTGTTTTAGTGTTTTTGGGATCCAGTCAACTTTTCTGGATTGGTTGTTATAAAACCTCAACATACTTATAACTGAAACTGTAATTTATATCAGCTATATCTGTGTCACAAACCTGTGACAGATATGAGTTCTACTGCAGGTGCCTAGTTATATTGATCTAGATCTAGGTCTGTCCCATATTAATTTAGGTCATTTTCACCAGCAACAAACAGAAAGGATGATGAACAGAGTGCCATGTTACACCACATACTTCACTGAAGTAACTTCATTGTATTACATTAAAAATTAATGTGACAATGAAACATTGCTTTCATTATGTTTCATAAATTCAAAACCTCAAACCTGGATTTGTGCACAACTACACATTATCTTGCAAACAGATTTCTACTCAGAAGTTGTGGATATTTGTGGAATAGAGGTAGCCACTGCAATTGCATTGTCACCTCTGCTTATTAATTTAGATCTCGAAACAGAAATAACGTTATTTGACCTTGAGGTTCTGGTGTGTAGGTATGTAGAAGGTCCTGCAGAAAGGATGGGCCAGACTGAAGACCCCTAAATACTAACAACACAGAAGAGCTGTGATTATACTAAAAATAGATTACATTAACACACACACACACACGCACACACACACACACACACACACACACACACACACACTGAATATTATTTAGAGGTATAGTAAATGGGTCTAAATGGAAATGAACACCACACTTTTCAGATCTTTCTCTGGAAAACAATTGGAAAATTGATTTTTGTTCTTTTCATTTACTCTCTATTGGTATATCACACAAATTATCAACATATTCACACCGAGGTTTGTGCTCGTAAGCTGAAAAATGTGAAAATGGGGTTTAAATAATTTTGCAAGGGATTTACCTTTCATGTTAGGACACAATGAAATGTTGGTAACAATTTATTTCAAGGGGTGTGTATAAGACTTACATGACACTGTCATAAACATAACATCTGTCATGAGCATGAGTTTTCATGAATTTTTATGATTGTTGTCATGAAGTATCATTCAGTAAATAATGACACTTAATGCAAAGTTGACACCTTTTGTGAACATTTAATGCAAATTTCAATGCAACTTTGCATTAAAATGTTATTTTTTATGAAAAAAAATGCAGTTGACACTTTTAATGAACTTTTAATGCAAGTTCTAATGCAACTTTGTATTTAAAGTGGCATTATTTACCAAATGACACTTCATGATAAGTCATAAACATTCATGAAGACCCAATGATGTTCCTGGCAGGTGTTATGTCATATTTATGAAAGTATCATGTCAGTCTTATGCACACCCTTTCAAATAAAGTGTTGCAGAAACCTTTATTTTGAAGTATTGAGTCATTCCACTTTTGTTGTAAGTGACATTAATGTTAAGATCACTCTAACAAAGCTTCATTACTTGGAAGCAAAGTGGTTTAAACTTTTGCACTGTTCTGAGGGCAATGCATCCACGTTACGTTCGCATCTGTCAGTGTAAAGCAGGGCTACATACGCTACGCGTGTGTAAATACACCCTCCAGATGACAGCAGCTCGACAAGGTTCTCTAACCACATGATTTCAGTAGTAGCGTGAAAGCCGTCTTGTGCTCGGGGGAATTTCCCATCCACGTGTCTGAATACACGACAGAGAGGGCGGGATATAAACAAATGCAACCATTGGCCGAAAACCCCGCGTGCACACCCCGCTGGCGGACCCAGATTAAAACTGACGTCAAATGGACTTGTAGCAGTTCTTTCTCGCAGAATGGAAGTAGCCGTGGAAGTGAAACGGATTAAACTCGCTTAATCTTGGCAGGATATTGAACTCTCCTTCGCTTTTTTTTTTTTTCCCCAAGCCCCCTCTGTGTGCCGGTGAGATAGTTATTAAAACGAAGCCTGGCTTTGCGGTGAGTACATGAAAAACAAGTCTAAACTGCATAACGCTTTCCGCCAGCTGATCACCCTGAGAGAGACGCAAACAAACAATCCGCCGTCGTTGTTAAAATAACAGAAACTAATTTGTCTTGAAACATGAAGCATGTTATGGGATTTCGGTACGTCTCCGTTAAGAGCAGAACTTTAGATAACGCAGACTGTCATTGTTTTAGTGGAGTTAAATTAAACGGACTTCTCCCGGCTTTCACACACATGTCCCGGCCGGTGAATGAGCTCTGCGCCGCAGAAAGCTTCAGCACTCTTAAAGTGACGCAATATTAAACATCTGTAAACGCGAAATGGCACATGTTCCACTTTATATGCCTAACATCGATGCGATTCTTCTCCCGCTTGATATGTTTAAAATGCATTTTCACACATTATTTTATCATTTATGAGTTCTTTTTTTTTTCAATAATAAGGGTTATTGAAACTCCCTCATATCAGTTAACTTCCGCTTTGACACCAAACGATAATTTTCAGATTGCGGTTAACACTTTTTATAATCTCAACGGTATGTATAGTTAAATAAGCAATTTGAAGTTTTAAAAATTGTTTGTGTTACTACAAACTTTTTTTTTTTTTCCTTTCACATTATGTGCCTCCTGAGGTCTTATGTGCAGTATTACATAAAGTTGAAGTGGGGAGAAGTGAGGTTGTGTTGTATAAAAACTGTGGCAATAACAGAGCTGCCTCACTGCTTACGACCACCAGCCAGCCTCCACTTATAGTGTCTGCAGCAGGGGGAGCCACTGCTTGACAGAAACACACGGATCTCTGCCTGGGCAGTGGAGCAAAGCAAAACAATAGAATTCATCTGGAAGTGTTTTTTAATATTTTTTTTCTTTTACAAAGCCCTTGTAGACTGTTCTTACCCTGTGTTTGTCAAAACAAAGCATTAAGCTGTGCTCATAAAGCAGACAGGCAGGACTTTCTGCTTGTGCTGAAGAAATCAAACCCCCTCCTTCTTGTGGAGACCAGGTCAGGGAAAGTGGCTCAGGATTTTCCTCAAGGACTGTCATTACGTTTTTGCTTTGGACCCTAATTTGGAATTGTGGTAGTATCATAACCCTGTATTACAACTTGATTGTGGATTTGGGTTTTGCTCGAGAGGCGGCTTGAATTTGAGACATATTTTGATAACTCTTTGACCCACTTTAAGGTTCAGGGTTGACTTGCAGCATATCATTGCCTTTGGAGAGGTTGCCAAGTTTTCTTTGAGACTCTTTCCACACTCTTGTGGTAAAATTGGCTTAATTTCTTCTAGTGAGAGTTTGTTGCTGCATGCTGAAATGTCACTTTGATATAATGGTGCAAAAATGCTGAATCTTAGCAAAATTATTTACAGGGCAGTTAATTAAGAAGCCCGGCAAAAGTGAGTGAAAAAGACCGCCAAACTCTATTTTGTGTAACCATGCCTCAACTGAATGGATAACCGCAGTGAACTGTGGTTGCAGTTGAACACAGTCATTTGTTGAATTTAATCCTGAGCCACAAATGATGCCAACTCCTTTGTGGCTCAGTTTTTGTCTAGTATACTTAAGAAAATAGGTTAGCAGGTTATTTTTAATAATAGATCCAATGGCAGCATAGTCTGATCTAAGATCAGCCTCAAAAATATCTATCTATCTATCTATCTATCTATCTATCTATCTATCTATCTATCTATCTATCTATCTATCTATCTATCCATCTAACTATTATAAATTTCTTATAATAAGGATTATGACTCATCAATTTCACAGTAAATTCCAATTAATGATCTTTAATTATTGATGAATCACTGATTAAATGCAGTGTGCAGTTGTGTGACTCAAGTCACATGTTTTTACATGACTGATGCCCTAAAGAAGTGTATTACAAATGACGATGTTTTTTAATAACAATACTGTTGATTGGTGCGTCATGCAATCACAGCCTAAACTAACCAAAAAAGTAGTAATAAATAGTTCTTATTGTCCCTTTTATTGTTATCACAATAGTATTACAAAGTGTCGTGACAAAACTTAAAGTCCATATCACCCACCGCTAAACCATGGCTTCTCTATTCAAGGCTGCTCCTCTGATAGTGCCCCCCGTATGGAGGATGAGGAGGATGATGTGTTTGAGCCAGATCCCAACTGCTGGCGCACGCCCTTCAGGGAGATAAAGTGTGAAGACCGGGGCACGCAGACGCCCGGTCCTGGCCAGGTGCTACACAACGGCATGCTGCCCTGTGGTGTTGCGGAGGAGCCCAGACGACTATTCTACGGTAAGTTGGTGACATGCTGTATTTTAAAATAAAAAAAAGGGGAACAGCGCCTTGTGTGTGAGAACCGGTGTTATAAAACTGAAGCACAAAATCATCACGTGCAGCTCACTGTGAGAAATGCCTAACCGTGTTGCTGCACTGATCTCACCCCTTGGCGCCTGATAGTCGTCATTACACCAGCTTTTATGGTCTACCCAGCTGCTTTGCTGTTGAAAAGGCGCCAATATGACTGAAGAGAAGTGGCAGAGATGTTCACCTGTACTGTTTATACCACTGATTATCAATGATAGCAAAGTTATACAGGCATCATATACAGCAGTCATTGCAAAGTAGCTCCATAACAACTGACTGACCCTGACATGTGAGTAACTTATAAAACTATTATGTGTAATAAAAGCGTAGCTCATCCCCTGAGAGAGAAAAAAAAGAAAAAAAGAAAAAAAAAGTGTTCAGGCTAAATGACACTGATCAGTGCTATGCAAACCTTTGTTTCTTTTCCTAAAGGAAGTCTGGCGTGAGTCATTGCTGCATTTGGATTGCTTCAGTGACCATGTGGCTGTTTACAAGATAATAAGTTTGGCCTTGACACTCAACAGGTAACGCAGGTTTTCGATTGCACTTCCCAGCGCATTTTGAACTTGTCGGGGATTTTGACGCGAGGCAACAAGAGGAGCAGAACAGGATGGAGCAGTTACCCCTGCACCAGCCGGCTGCACTCAGCTTGGAGGCCTGCATCGGGCAGAAGCTTCAGCTGATAGGCGACCAGTTTCACCGGGAACACTTACAACAGGTGAGAGGGAATGATGCACCATCACTAAGAGTCACTTTAATTTGCATTTTACACCATCATGGTTAAAACACAGAAACTGAAGGGGTGAAAGTAATCCAAAGGTTGCTTCCAGTTGTCTTTTCCAAGGAATTATAACACAAAAAAGAGAAAAATGCATGCCATATTCATGGATACAGGCGGTAAAATTGAATCCAACAGTACATTATCGCTTGTTATGCATTAAGGTGTCTCATCATAATCCAAAGTCCACACATTAGTAACACCACCAAAAGTAATTTTAAAATTTTTGAATCTAATCTTGCAAGATCACCTAATCATGTAACCTGACAGAGTTGCATGTAGGGTCAAAAGTATGCTCATGTTTATTGTGTTTGCCCCGTGTTTGTTTTGGAGAGGCTGTGTTCAGGCACAACTTCTGCCCTGTGCCTCTTGTTCCCTCAGCCCACATATCCCAGGACGGCCCTTCCCCCACATAGCCCACCGACACCAGTCCCTTACCCTGCCTCCTCTTCCTGTTTATTTCTCTCTCCTTTCCCCTGTTTCCCCTGTTTCCCCAGTGTGCTGTAGAGGCAAGTGGCATAAGGATCCCTGACTCAAACAATACACCCTGTCCACAAAGTTTGTGTGCTGCTTCTACATGGGGTGTATTAAATCTTCATACCTGAACACTATGCATGTAACTTCTGTCAAATGCAAGATGTATTTGACAGAAGTTACATGCATATGCAATTAAACATAAACACATTTTAGACTGGGCATAAAAAAGCAGAAGTTTCAGAAGTAGGTAAACATGTTGTAACCCAAAGCTCAACACATGAGCCCAGAGGGGAACAGCTGTGGTTCCGGGGAGTCTTCAGTCACCCCTGTACTCAGCAACAAGCTGAAAACAAAAATTAAACACAGTATGAATAAGAGGCTAAATCCATAATGATGCATAAAAGGGACCGGGGTGGATGTTTGGAAATTAAACCACAAAATACGCAGATAACAGCCATCTTCAGCTCTTTTGGAAAAAAAAGGGCTCCTCTCTGTCCTGCCTGTCTAAAACCTCCAATTTTTAACCTCACAAAATGAAGTGTGAGATATTTTCTCATGAGCTTATCAAGTGGAGGTTATTTATGCTACCTCTGCAAAGCATGACTCATGTGCACTGGAGAACACACACAGAGAACCAGACAGTCAGACGGTAGGTTTACTGTTAAGCGCAATTGTGGCTGGGGATGTACTGACGCACAACTTAGGCTGGACTGTGTCAGGGGATGAGGAAGTGGCTTTTGCCCCTTCTTACTGTTGTAGCAAACAAAAGAGTCAGAGTGAGAACGAACCTTGTGCAGTCACATCCTGCATGCACATATTGTGATACTAATGACTTAATGTGAGAATATTTTGTGTGCTTCTGCCATGATGACTGAGTTAACTGAAGTCTGAAAAGAAAAGTCTGAATTTTGCAAAATAGATTATAACCATCTTTCACTTATGTTTATTTCTATGTTGTTACAGAGGCATGTTTTTGAGGCTGAAACACAAATGATGTACAGTCTTAGATGTGTGTGCCTCTGCAGTGTCTATTTTTGGCACTGCTTGTGCAGCTCTTTGTATTGTGTGTGTGTGTGTATGCACACGGCATGCATGGCTACACCCATGCTTGTTTTTCTGCTGTTTGCCATCCCTCTCTTCTCACTTTTTCTCTGTGAGAACCGGGACAAAAACTTCCACTGAGTAACAGGGGTTGGTGCTTAGATGCGTTTCAGCAGTAGGAAACTTTTCAAGGAACCAGGGTTGTATTTTGTGTTGTTGTTGTTGTTGTTGTTGTTGTTGTTGTTTTTGTTGTTTTATTTAACTCCTATTGTTTCCACTGCAGGGATTGACCTTGAACTAAAGGTGGAGTTTCTGAAACTGATTATTTGCCAGCCTGGTTATTGCCAATAAGAGTTTGAATTCTTGCCGCTTAAGATATTATTTTCCAAATATTGCATCCAAACAGCCCTTTCCGATTTCAGTGGTGCACATTGTAAAATAACTTTGGAAATTACAATTTGATACATTTTTCAGCTCTCCTCCTGCAGTAGGAGTGACCTGCTCACTTAACAGCCTGGTTTTGAAACTCACAGTAGAAACACACAACTGACAACTAGGGTGAAAGGAGGTTCTGGGAAGTTAAATAAATGTTTCAGGTCCCATTGTACAAACAACTTTTATCTCATCTCTGCCCTGTTGCTCTGGACCACAGCCAACTTATTAAGCAATTATTCAGTGCAGACACTTGTCTTGGAGCAATTCAAGTGCTTCTGACTGCCATCACATTGATGGGTTTTCTTAGCAGTGTGGCTGCAAGTGTTCTCCATGGGAGCTCCTTGCCCCAGGCGAAACGAGGGATTAGGCAGCGCAGGAGTGCTGGTGGATGTTGACAGATAAATTGCTCCTCAGTCACAGAGGGCTGGAGGGGACGCTGAGGTCCCCCGAGGATGGCTGACATTAGCTAGTCTGCCATTTGAGACATGGCAGTAATGACAGTCACAATGGCAGGAAGACGGCTCCAGCCTGCACAGGGCAAGGAGCAGAGTTAGGTTTCATCCCCATGTTTTTTTAAGAGACGACTCTCGGTGCTTTGGACAGGAGGTGTTGAAAGCAGGCTTGAATATCTTCTGTGTCTGTGCATGTGTCTGTGTGTGCATGTGTGTTGTGTTTGTGGCTTTATCTCTGCACTCTCTCCTTTCAGCACTTGTAGAAAAGAGGGAAAGGGTTTGATTAACATAAAAACAAGTTCTAGTATCTTATTATTAATCTGTAAAGATTTTTTTTCTTTTCTACTAACCTTTGTTGCATGTTTGCATTTTACTTTGGGCTCTTTCTCATTACTGATACGACTAATCCAGAGTTTCATGCTGTGGAGGCCGGTTTGTTTACTCAAGTGATAAGACGGTGCTTCTGAGCAGCTGGCCTGACGGACAGCCTGCTCTGGAAACTGATAAAGCACATCAGGGTAGTGTCAGAGTGACGACACAGAGAATCTGGCTAGACTCTTGCGCTCCATCAGCCAGCTAAATTTAGAGGCAGATGCCTTTTGGCAGTTACTGGCGTGACTCATGAGTACGCTGTGACAGGCTGGTGCACACCTCTTGTTTCACTCTTACTCTCTTTCTCTGTTTATTTGTGTGCATGCTACTTAACTTGGTAGAAGTGAGTGCAAAAGATCACGAACATTTTGTTTTTGAGATGAAAGATTAATTGCTCTTCTTGCAGTTTAGAGCGGAACGTGATAAATTCCAAACATGACACATTGGCATCGCAGCATTTGCTAACAAATACTCAATATTTGCCAACCAAATAAATCTAATTTACCAGTATAGTCATATAATTAAGCTTTAAATATAAAGTCTGAAGATCTATCTCTTGTTTTTTTCAACTTTAAGCTTTTAGCTTGTGATGAGATAATCCACTCTGTTACTTTTATTACACTATCATAATATCCCCAGGCAAGATTTAGATACAATGTGTAACAGAGACCTTCCCAAGAGCTGTTGTCATAGTTTTGTACCATTTTCATTATTCTATTTTTTTTTTTCCTTTGGAGCACAAGTAAGAGTAGGGGAGTGGAAAAGCTAGATTCTCTCATGCTAGCTGGAACATGGTAAAGCTTACGCAACACCATGCAATGTTCACCACAGATTGATAAGAGAATGAAAAAACCCAACAGTCTTATCACAGTGGCAGCTCCTGTCTTTCAACTGTTTCAAGGTCTGGACATCATGATGAGTGCTTTCCAAAAGCAATCATGCACAAACATGTCCACATTTTGTCTCGTTACAACCTCGAACTGAAATGGTTTTTATTGCGATCTTAGCTTTTGTGCAAGTGTAAAGAAAATTGTGCGTGAAAATGTGAAGATTAGGTATGTGTATAAGTAACCACATTTTCTTGCTCTAATACTCCTACATAACATCCAGTTCTACCAACTACTGTCAGCGGTTTCCTAATTAGTTAATAGATTTTGTGATTAATTGCTGGTGTGCAATTAATCACAGTATTAATAAAGTTGTTCTCAGAAAGCCTGAGAGGTTTGTTAGTGAACACTAGTGAACAAATATCATCATAAAGACCAAGGAACATAACAGCTAGGTCAAGTTTAAAGCACAACTTTTTGTTATAAAACAGCTTTGTAATCTTTGAGCATCTCACCGAGACCTATTCAGTGTATTAATCAAAATTTAAGAAAATGGGAAAACAATAAGCAGGCCCAGGAAGAAAAACATTCATCAGAGAGGCAACCAAGAGGTCCATGGTAACTCTGGAGGAGCTGCAGAGGTTCATATGCCAGGTGGAAAAGTCACCTAACAACTATTAATTGCTCACTCCAGACCCCATTGTGAAAAACAAACTGCATAGGAAGTTTCATTTGCAGTTCACCAAAACTAATTTAGGAGAAAATGCCAAAATTTGGAAGAAGGTGCTCTGATCATTGTTTCTCCATCCAGTCCAGTCGGCCTGGACTTGAAACATTGCATAAAAGAAGAGGAGGAAAATACCCCCTTTCACAAAACACTTTAACAGCGATTAAGGTGCATCAGTGGTTTTGTAAAAGGATGGATGTGGTGAAAGTGACTCCACCAGTTAATTGTAGTTGTGACTTAGGCTGTGTGTGACCAGACAGCTGCAGAATAGTAAGAAGGCAAGTTTTCTCTTTTAAATTAGAAACATATGCAATAAGATCGCTAAACTAAGTTTGTCCACCATTGTTTTCAATAGAGTAGCATGGGGAAACTTCTGGTGTAGAATTTATGCTAGCATTGATGTGGTATGACATCTCCTATCAATCCTCCCCGATGACTTTATTCTAAAAACAACAGCCTTGCAATGTATTGACTTCACTTGTGAATTAGAAATGCCCAGAAGGAACTGCAGGGCATGCCATCTTCAGGATAATGTTTCAATCTCCAGATGTGCAAAGCTGGTTGAGGCATATCTCAAAAGACTTAGACTTGCGGGGTGCCGTGGTGGTGCAGGGGTTAAGCACAACGCACATATGGGGGCCTTAGTCCTTGGCGCAGCTGTTGCAGGTTCAATTCCTGGCCTGGTGACCCTTGCTGCATGTCTTCCTCCTTCTCTCATTACCCACCTTTCTGTCAATTCACTATCAAATAAAGGCCACTAGAGCCAATAACACCTTAAAAAAAGACTTAGACTTGCATTTAGAGTGAAAGAATTTTGTAAAATAATGTTTACTCAAAGGGGCTGAATAGACATGCATGCCAGTCTTTTCAGACTTATTTAAAAACATATATAACTTACCCTCCACTTCACAATATGCACTACACAGTGTTGGCCTGTCACATAAAATTAGTCATAGTTTAAGCCTTATTAGCTAAAGTAAATTTAGCTTTATTAATTGGACTACTACAGACTGAAAATAGTCTCATCATTATCAGCCATAAAAGAGTCTGTCTTTCATCAGCAGGTGAGCTGTTGGACTACTGTAGCTGTCATGTAGATGCATTTTTTTTTTTTTCAGAGACTCTCTGGCCCTCATCAGGAGCCCCCTAATCCCATTTGGTACAATTATCTTATCTCAGGTTCTCAATGAGCGAGATAGCATTATCCCCCCCTAATCGTACACAATCCAATTGGCTTGCAGACCTAAGAGTCTCGTTTTTGGTTGCTGGCTGCTGGTCTCAAGCAGACAGATTAGAAAAAAAAAGAAAAAAAAAACTGTGACTGTATGATGAATGTGTTTATTGCTTGGAATGTTTATTAGGAAGCCTGACTTTGTGTGGACCCAGCACAGAAATAAAGGCTCAAGTAATAAATGCTGTTGGGGACAGAAGCAGACTGTTGTGGAAATATCATCGCTGTTCCAGTGTCTGGTTCTGTCTTCCTAGTTGACCTACTTCACTGTGCCTCCTGTCAATTGCATCATTTCACAGCCAAATGTAAACTAAACACAGTAGTAAAGACCAAATCATTACTTTTTCTTTGTGTTGCTTTTGGAGTTTGTCGACTGCACTAACGGCTAAATGCTTCATTTCTCTTTGATTTTTTTTCAGTACCAACAAAACCAAAGGAATCAGGGGCCGCTGTGGTGGCGCATGACTGCAGCTCTTCTCAGCCTCCTGTTTCATAGGGGGTTTATTGCTGGAGGAGGTGGAGCAGGACGGAGGTGAGGGGGAACTTCCTCTTATATCCTTTGTCTTCATCTCTGTTGTGACGAACTGGACTCCTGAAGGCACTGTCCAATCTAACACGGGTCTGTTTGAGGGAGGAAAGAAAGGAGGGAAAATGGTCACCGCGGGACGGCGACAACCAAATTTTATACAAGGGCGTGTGTTTTTTTTCTTTAAAAGAAGATGCCATGATGCTCCGGGATTCATCTAAAGGACAATGTTTATATTTAGGCCTACATGTCATGTAGTCGTCTTGTACAGTACATTGTTCGATTTTTTTTTTTTTTTTGGTTTGTTTTGGGGTTTTTTCTGTGCACTTCAATATGTGTCCTTCTTAAAAGACCTGACCTCCACAGACCTTGGGAATGCCTTAGTCAGTGTCTTCTGCCAGAAGGAGAGTTGAGTGTTTTTTTTGACGAGCAAGATGAGATGGTTAAGGAAATGAAATGTAATGTGGTGTGACGGTTTCTTTTCTGAAGTCCCCCAGGAGACCAGTCAAGTTAATTTACTCACTTCCAAAGAGGCCACTTCCCAGAACAAAGCATTTTGCACCTCACCTCTATGGAACATTTATCTATTTATCTTTTCTATGTATTTTTCTCTTTATTTTCTGTGCTTTGGTGTCAATTTTAACCCGTCATATCTTGTAGGATTTCAGGAATAAGGTAAACATTCTGTACATAAAAAAGTTGGCACACTGTGAATTGTTATCAAAGTTTAGTTGTGCGCTACATGTCAAACATTTGAGACTTTTTCAACCATATAAGAGGTGAAATTTGCTGTTCTGAACAACACTACCTGGTTAAACGGGCCTGGTTGGTGCCAGCAGACCTGATAAACATCAAAAAAGACTTTAGATAAATGTCAGACATTATACAGATGACTCCACTTTTATGACTAAAGAACTGACAAGATAAATTAGCCTTAAATACAGTTCAGTAGTGGATACTTAACATGCATTTAATCATTTACATATTTTAGGATCTTGTTTTGATTTTGCTTGTAGCAACATTAATTACTGTTGTATTTTCTGATAGCATCACTTATCTATGAAAAGTCGGTCACATATCATTATCACTAGCAGGTTTTGCATAAATGTCCTTCCTTCTATATGCTTGTCCCAATTTCTGTGATGAACGTTATTCTGAAAAACTTCTCAGAATCGTGAAAGGTTACTTTAAAAAAAAAAAAGGTTTCCCATTGACTGGATATTTAGTTACACAACTGAAAACTTGTTTGGGTTACAATTGACATAACGGGTACTGATGATGCCCGCCAGGCCTTGCCCTCTCTGGACGAAGAGCAGGATCGCCCAAATAAAACAACTGCCATTTGACATGAAAGTTAATGAATAGACACTCATCTGTCTGGTTAATAGAAATGTTATATCTTGTAGCTGTACTAACAGCGAAGGGATGTCTGAGATGTAGCACACTGAGTAGATATTTACATTAAAATCATAGGGTGTTGACTTTTACATGTATATAAAAAACTATTAAGGTCTTGCACCATGCACTAAATTAGAGCAAATGAATCAAGCACACTGTCACACTGTTTAAAAGTTTACTTTTTTAAGTTTCATTTCACCAAATATACAGTTTTTTTTTAGCATAGCCTTATTCCTAGGATTTTCCCTTCATTTCATGTGTTCTTTTTATGTGATTGTTTTCAGACCTCCATGCCCTTTAAGTGGAGCTGTGGATCCACTGTTTTTGCACTAGACTTCCACCCGTTTAAGAGTTCAGATTGTTTCCGAGCTAACCTCTTTCTCGTATGAAGGTTTTTCAGTCCCGTCTTGTTTCTTTGCCACCACATTTCAGATGTATTCACTTATATGGCCAAGACAAATGATCAGTATTGAGTCCCGACTGACTGAGCACAATGTGCATTTAGCATCAGTTCTGGATGTTTCACTCACAACTGTTTCAGGATTTCAGTTGAGCGAGAGCAACTTTTGCGCAGAAGACCAGCTTTGAACAGCAAGCTAATATGGCATAAACAGTCTGTGAAACAGAATCTCCTCCTCTCAGGATACCCTTGTGCGGTTTCACATCATTTGATATTCTGTTGGGTGATCTTACATTGTCTGTGGTACTCAGATTTAGATTTGGGACGTGGGTACACACATAACCACCACTGGCTCACCAGACAAACTGTCTCTGAAAAGAAACAAAAGTGAAAAAGGCTGTAATTACTGTTGAAATATGAATACATATAAAGACACTGTTAAAGATATTGTTTATTATGTTTTTTTGGGTTTTTTTTATTATTATTTTCATGCTGAATCTTTTGGACCCGAGGAGCAATACATATCAGGGGTCTATAATTACTTGCTCCTTACAATGTATCAAGTTGATCACTGCATAATTACTGTCTCATTTTCTCTTTAAGATGTCTCAGGGACAGACTTTTTGGGCTACTGGTAACCTTGAGAATCTGTTACATGTTTCAGAGAAAAGGAGTGTTGTCACCCATTTATTTATGTTAGAGAACCTCTTGAGGTATTTTCAAGTCTTCTGTATTTTCATTTTATTTAGATTTACTGTATTCTGTCTTCCATCGTGTGCACACACACACACACACACACACACACACACACACACACATAGGTACAGTTTGAGGAGTCTGGGCTGGCATGCTGGCGGTGGTGGTGACAGGGGCTCCTGAGTTTGCAGTCAGAGGAGAGAGAGGTGCACTAAGTGTGGTTGTGGTAATAGTTTCCTGCAGATCCTGAACACTGAGCCAGTCCCTGTAGCACCTCTTGACTTCCTCCTCATGCTGCTCCTGCATGGCATGTTTTTTTTGTTTTTTTTTCAGTGGCTCATTTAATTTGTAATTTATTTTTTCTTCCTTTTTAATTTATTTTTTTATTTTTATTTTTTTTTTACCAATTTCTACTGTATACACTTGTGTGTGCAATCACATCTTCCTCTTTCTGCTTTGATCTTGGACTCATAAATGGTTCAGCTTAAGAATAATTGTGCCTGATTTTTTTTTTTTGGGGGGGGGGGATTTTATTGTATCACTCATTTCTCACAGCCTGTAAAAAAACAGCGCTCTGAGTTTGTCATGGAACAGAGTGCACATTGTCTTCTACTTTTCACTCACAGCCAGAACAGAAGTTAATAGATATGTGTTGTATGTTGTTGCCAATATGAAGAGAAAAACTGCAAACCACCTTTCAAGCCCGTATGAATGTGTGACACTTAAAAAAATGAATATGGTTATTGGTGAAGTAAACTCAAAATTTTCAATTTGTTTAAAATGTTTATGATTTTTTTTTTTTTTTTTGGGACCAGAAATGCAGTAGTTCCAATGCAGTTCAACTTATCTCTTGTGTAATTAGTCATCATACATTGTGCCCATTGCTAATGACACCCAGGATATTGAGAAAGCATAGAAATGAAAAGGTTTTCTATTTACACAAACCACAGAATGTTTGTTCCTTAATCCCAATCATTGTGTTGTAATCAGTATGCACTGGAAAGTACTTTGTTTCTGTAAATCCCAGAAGTATTTTAATGTATAGTATAAACTCTGGATTGTTCTCATAGGCTAATCTGGCCATGTGTCAGCTGTATCTCTGTGCATTATTTGGACAAGAAGGTTCAGGTTTGATAGCCTGTTGATTTATTGAAAAGGGAAACAAGCCACCATGGTGTCCTTATATTTTTTTAAGTGGACGTTTCCTAAATTGTGCTCACAGCATTTTGTGATTGCTGAGGTCCAAGACTTGGACAGGTACTGTTTGGAAACCATCAGTGTCTTGAATTTTGTTTTCCACTTTTACTTTTATATTGAAATTTGTGTTTTTGGACGAAGATTTAGCCTGTTTTGTACCATAACATTTATTCTTTGAGGTCTTTCTTAACTTTTAAAATTGTATTTTCTTAAGAAAAAGTGTCTTTTTTTTCTAAGGACAGTTCATTCTTGCAAGACTTTTTTAATACAAGCAAGATCATTTTAAAGTCAATGAGATCGAAATCATTTGTTTTTAATGAAAATGAACTCTGAACATTCCTTGCACATCTTACTATAGCGTAATGAACTTAGGCCAAACATTATACGGTTTGACTGACTTAACTCAATCAAACCCTATAATGTTTTATACTGTTTGATTGACCGGCTCGTTGCTATAAAATGTTTGCCCTTCTTTACAGAACAGATAGCTGACCATTTATTTCTAAAAAAAAAACCCCCTGGAATATGCCTTTAACTGCTCAATTTCAATGAAGTCTTGATTATCACACACTCTCTGTATACCAAGAAATGAGACCCAGCGAAAATGTAGCATTTTTGTAAACATTGACTGTGTGTTTTCGAGACTCTACTGTGCACTCTTTTTATCTTGTGTTTATATGTATTTTTTCTGGTTGTTAATATTCATATGGAAGTAAAGACAATTTGCTATGTAGTGCAATATGCTGTATATACAGAGTTTTGCTCTACAAATGTTTTTTTTTTCTGGATTTCTTGTTGTTTATTGGTACTTTTTTCAATAAAATATTATGGAAGTTATCAAACTGAGTTAAGTTTTTGCTGCGGTGATGAAGGTAACATACAGTTCCTTTCAAAAATATTTACTCCGCTAGAGATTTTTCCATTTTCGACACATTACAAACATTAACTTCATTGTGTTTTGTTTTAGAATTGGAGGACAGATCAACGCAACTAAGTGCATAATAGCGGGCTCGCTCTGTGTTCAGCCCCACTTAGTTAATCATTTGTAGAACAACTTTTCCTTCCCATTATAACAAGTGTTTAAGGGTCTGCTTTTACAAGAATTGTAGATCTAGGCAGAAATCCCACCCCCTCTTCTTTTTTTGGAAAATAGCTCAAGCTCTGTAGTTAAATGGAGATCATATGTGAATATCATTATATGATGTGCTATAATATGGCATAATTTGAAGTTCCAATATAATCTCGCTCAAACCACTATAATTTAGGGGACTTCTTAAGATAGCTCATTAGACTGAATTTCATTTAGAGGTATCAAGAGGACAGCATTCAAATGTATGACACAATCTTCCAATTTATATATATATATATATATAATTAAATTTAAAAACCATATGTGATTTTCTTCATATGTCACATGCTCCACTTTGTGTTGGTCTATCTTATAAAAATCACAAGGTCTGAATAAAACATGACAAAGTTTCATAAAGTTCACGATGTGTTGATATGTTCCCAAGGCACTGTAAAGCATTTCAGCCATATTCATATAAATCTGAAAACTTAGGAAAAAATTATCTTTGTCTTGACCTTAATACCAATCCATGTCATCTAACCACAGACAAAAAAAAAAAAAGAAAACAAAGTTGCAGCCCAAAAATTTATTTCTCTTTTGTCTTGCTTTTAATCCTTTGTGCTGTAACTCTATTTGCAGGAGTTTTGTATTGAGCATGTAAGCCACTGGCTGATTAGCAAGTGTCTGAGTCCAGCTGTGTCTTTGAAGCCAACCAGGCAAATCGCAAAAGACTTTTTTTTCATCATTTTTATCTACAGTTTAGTAATTAGTTTGGTGGAAGCAGCGGGGCTTCCTGAAATCTCTAATATCTGCTGTCCGAACAATGCACACGTGCAGATACTGTGCGCCCGCACTGCATGACAAGAGAATAGGTCCGTGTGTATATTGAATAAGAAGAGGTACTGTCACATCTTCAAAGGTTAAGGCCGACCTGCTGAGCCCGCAGATTAGTTACGCTGCACCCTCAGTGCCTGAAGGCTCCGGAGGAGATTGATTACTCCCGACACACGTAAACATAAAGCATTTGTTCAGTCTTTTAGCTATGTTTGTGATGTATTATTTGCAAAATGTTCCAGCTTTCTATTCATTCTTCTGTAGGCACTGTACTGACACCAGTGAAACATTAAGGTGCAAGCACTTGTAATAGCACTACAGAGAACGATGCTTTTTCTTTCTGCATCGCAGACATCCTACCGTCTCTTTCCTTGGGGCTGACGCGTGGCTCTCTTATTGTTGTACGTGCCAGGTAGAGTTTCACGCTTCAGCCACACCTGTCTCACCTGTTTGGGAGCCTACAGCAGAAGAACTATCTTGCACTTTGACATAAACAAATACACATCAATGAGCGTGCCAAAGGATGTGGTCAAAACTGAACAACTGCTATTCCAGCCACAGTTGACTTAGGGTGCAAAACTACAGTGTCTCTCGCCACTTAAGCTTGGGTTCAAAATGTTTCAAATATATGGTTGTTAAGTTTGAAAGGAAGATAATTGGAAGTGTTACTTAGACATCTGTCAAATTGTATATTCATCATGTGACTACAGGCTTCGGTGTCTTTAAATGCTACACCAAATATGAACCTGAAGGCAGGAATAACCCTGTTTAGCTCACATTTTGTGGCTCTCTCCTTTAAGATCAGCACTTAAATGGGGAGAGCATTGGCTTTCCCTGGTTCAAACAATGGCTTCTCTGTTCCCCTCACTTGGCTGCCTGCTGAAAGAGACACCCATTAGAGAAGCGTCTATCTCTGAGGTCAGGCTGAGAGGTCACACACAAGTACGGCTCTTGTTTATGTCTGCAAAGCCAATCAAAACACTGCAGCCTCCTACTCGCCCAGCTTTCTAGTTCAGCAGAATAAAGAGCAGATTCTGTCAGAGCTTAAGAGACCGACGGCAACGAGTTCCACCTCAGTTACTGAGCGTCTCCTTTAATCTGAGCAAAAGTGATGTGTCACTTACTGAAGTAAGAAGTTGCAGCAACAAACTAGGACTCACAGCACCTGCTCAGCACCACAAGCCACAGGTACTTCCCCCAACCCCTCAGAATGTTTCAAGAAGCTCCTCGCTCAACAATACACATTTGAAACAAGGGAATCATGTGCACTTTTCATTTAGATATAGGGAGAGGACATGAAAGGAGTAAAGAAAGAAAGACTTTAAGTTAAGAGTCTTAAGCATGCAAAACGTTAAATTATTCAGCTGTCTGAATGTCTCATCACACTTTTGTAAACTTGAATGTCTTACCCTTGCCTTGGCATTACCAAGGCTTTCCTTGAAAAAGTTATCTAATTTGCAGTAATCTAATTTGCAGCAAACATTATTAGTTTCACTTTTGTTTATGTGTTTATTTGAGGATCCCTATTACTCTCTGCTGTAGCGGAGACTATTCTACCTAAATAGAATTGCTAGCAGTGCATGAAACACATAAGTGCAGTTGATACAGTTTTGTATTGTTTGCAACTAAAGGTATGCTCTAGCTGAAAGTGCTGTTACTATCGGGAGAGCAGAGATGTTTCTAAGCTTGAGGCCAAGTCAAAGCTAAAGCTAAATAAAGGCATCCTTAACCTCTGAACTGTTTCACATTTCTTGTTACAACCACAAACTTCAGTGTATTCGATTAGGATTTTATGTTATGGCACTACTGCAGACTATAAAATATATATATATATATGTTCACCTAAGCTGAAAGGCCAGGCAGGAAGGGTATTCTTTAGAAATCAGCTAAGAGCCCATAGTTACTCTGGAGGAGCTGCTGAGATCCATTGCTCACGTTGGGGAATCAGTTGATAGGAGCGCTTCACAAATCAGGTCTTAATGGAAGAGTGGTGAGAATAAAGCCACAGTTCTGGTTAGTGACTGTAAAAGCCGTGTGGGGGTCGCAGTAGACATTTTGAATAAAGTGCTTTGCTCTAACACCACACCTCGAACACCCACACAGTGGAACACGGTGGTGACAGTATCAGAAGAAGAGAAAACTGGCAGAGTTAATGAGAAGATGGACTGAAATCAAGACTCGGGGAAACCTGGAACCAAACCTGTCAGAGGCTTCCAAAGATAACAGCACAACAACCAAAAACATGCAGCCAGATTTACAACAAACACTAAAATGGTTTGCATCAACAAACTGAGAATCTGTGACAAGTATTGAACATTTCTGTTCACACGCAGCCTAGCTGTTTTAAACATAAGAATGCAAAAAATAAATAAATAAAGATTGTGAGATTTGCAAAGCTGGTGAAAAGTTACAGTGGAGGACTTGCTGTAATTGCACCAAAACCTGTTTCTAAGCCCATTTGACTTAA